ATTAACATTCAATATTGTTGTAATTATAATATATTATTTAATTTTACTTTCTAATAATTATTTGCTTATTCATTTATATATTTGTTAATTTAAATATTTATTTATTAATTTATGTTTTTATTTTTTAAATAATTAATTCCTTTTTTATATTTTTCAGATATTTCAGATTTAATTATTTTTGTATTATATCTTTTTTTAATTTATCATTTATTATTATATATATATTTTATTTTATGTTAAATTTTTTTCTTATATTTCATTTTTATTAAAATTTTTTTTGTCACGTTTCTTAATATTATATAATAAAAAATCTTTTTGCATTATCTTTTGTATTATAATAATATTTTTAAATATTTAATTATTTGATCTTTATATTATATTCTTTAATGTGTTTTAAAATAGATATGAATAAATACAGGTTTTAAGAATTTAAAAAATAAAAATTTATTTGTGCGATGGTAAGAAACATTTTGATTTCTTGTACGATTGGTATTTCAGAACACTATATTCCATAAGATGATAAATGGATTCTGTTAAACAAGTAGTTCTCTTAATATTCTATTACTGGTAAAACAGATTTCTTCGATAGATAATTTGATTTACAGTTTTTTTCAGTCGGTATATCGAAACTTTTGAACATGTTTTTAAATTCAAAAGTTTTCAAGTTCATAAAAATTTGAATCGATCGTAGAAACGATGATACGAATTTCCATACATTTAAATTTACGATCTTCGTAAATCGTAATTCTTGAAATTTTCTTTAATATTTTAATTCTTCTCCGAAGAAGAGAAGATATTGAGAATTGATGTCAATTGAAAGGAAATTCATTTCCTCGTAAAATATCATCGAGGAAAGACAAACACAAGAAAGGAAACGATCGAAAAGACGAGATATGAAAATACAAGGTAGCATCGGATACCGATCCAAGAATTGCTAATATATCCGTTTTATCCGTGTTTTTCTATGCAACGCGGACAGGGTACGGCTACGTTCAATTCTCTATTTTCATTCCAAGCTGAACCGAACAATGGGGGATCTAAATTGGGCAAAAACCAGTCTGCCGTCTAGTTTGGTGAGGCTAGAGGCATTATGGTACAGCCGGTAACTACGTCGTCAGTCGAAGATCCCCGGAATAAGGTCCTCGTCAAGATAGTTAGACCAGTGACCAAATCCTGATTCCGACCTTCCTTTTCCGCAACCCACAAATACCTGTAATATTCGGTGAAAGTGGTAATTAACGACGCGCGCCAACTTTATGTCCCATTCCTCTATCGTTCCGAGGATTGTATCGCGAATGCTTGGTTCATCGTACTTCTGACCGGTTACGACACCGCGTCTCTCGTCTTTTTTATTTAATATTTATTTTTTTTTATCGTGTAATTTTTCAAAATTATTACGTCCTCGACGAAACGGAAAGAATGGATTTGAGCTTATTACGTTATATATATGATCTAATCGGATTGCGATCCAAATGAATATTCATTGATCGTTCTAATCGTAGATACAGACGTTGTATGCAGGTACATCCGTTCTTCGAAACCAATTGTCGGTCGGGTATACCATGACCCGATGGTAATCGCGTTTCAATGCGCCGAACGGTTCGGTCAATTGTTTTATTGCGCAGATTAGCAGGATAGTTATTAAAGGTCAGGATTATTTTTAGCGATTCGAGTAACACGAATCGAGATAGGATCGATATGCACAATGTTGCAGCGCGGATGATAAGGAACCGAAGTGCACACTTTTCGTGGCATTCCGAAGCTCCCTCATAGCTGTACAATCGACCTCATTGTGTTCCTCTGTTTGCCTCGAAAATATTGTTCGCTGGCTTTTGTAGAAGCTTACCAGGTGTGCGCGATTTCCAGGTGGCTGAAATAGAACTTGGAGATTGAGAGAAAAAACAATTAATCCTTTATACGCTCGACATTTCGATAATTTCGATAATTTTATTCTTTCCTTTCTATTCAATCTAAAGATAGGATATTGCATCGTACGTGTTAAGTACACAGGTCTCACAGTTTTTCCAGAATTTTCTATGCATATTTCTCAAATAACAGCCCATAAAACAAGACAATAGTTACTTCATAACTATTGGTTAACATCGGATATCGTACATAACGGAACTCGATTCTTATTCGTTTTTAATGCCGTCGTACTTTATCTAAACATATTTAGATTTTATTGCCTTTTCTAAGTTTCTTCCTTAAAAATATCGTAAATTTTATTTTTTTTATCTAATTGCAATGGTCTTTTTATTCGGTAATTTGCACAGCGTTCAAGAAAAAAAAAATGACTCTCACTTTACAGTTTTCGAATTAGTCATGCACTTGTTAACAAAACTTTGTTCAGAATTTGATTAAATAACTTGATCATTAGAATAATTGATTCACAGTAGGAGATATAGTCTCCGTGACCACGTAATCATTTCCAGAAAGCCTCTCGTCGGGCTTAGAAATAAATTAGCTCAAATCGTTAGTGAATAATCAGTGACGTGTATGAAAATCATAATCTGTTATACACACGTCACGATCTTAGTCACACGCAGATGCGCGAAATGATTTTCTTTCTTCTCTCCCTCTCTGCGTTACGCTTCCAGTAACGTCTCGTTTAATCTCCACGCCGAATATCTCTCTTAATTAGAAAAACGTTGCGTCCCCCTCCCCGCTCCGAATACGCTCCAAGTATCGATTTAAAAATACGCCCGTACCGGGATACGTATCCTCGGTTGCGGATGAAAACGCTTGCCAGGGATCAAGGACCAAAAACTTTTCCGGAATGGAACGAACGGTGGCGGCAAAATAGGAAAGCAAAAATAGGGCGCAAAAAAAAAAAAACTCGAACGACACTTGTACCTTGAAAAGGTTTATCCGAAAATCTCGCCCAATCCAACCATCTCCCACTTGAAGAATTCGAAGCACGTGCGTTATTCGTGCGGCATGCAACCGCGTTACGAGCCTTCATTCCGGAAATTCGGGCGCGAAAGAAAGGGGCGCTTAGGAAGTGGATGGCCATGGGCAGTCGCCTGGTCGCCCTACGAAGGGCTCTGGCAATAATGGTCCGTCCCTGGGCTGGAGAGTCTACCGGCCCATTCCATTCGAGAGCCGTCGTCTCTCGCGTACATCGGCCGTCGCAGGAAGCATTCCATTCATGTTTCGGGACGCGCAACGGACGCTGATCGGTGGAGAAGAGAGAAACATAGCCGGATAACCGGGACTCCTCACGAGGGCTGGCGCCACCGTCAGGAACAACGACCTGCCGATACGCAGTCACGATGACAATCGGCAAGTTAACGTGAAAAACTCGAACCACGTGGTGGAAGCTGATCGTTTTTCGACAATTGGATCGTGTTTAGAGGAGGGGAATAACTTGGAAAACATTTAACTATGGTGCGTTTTCTTTGATTAATTGGCGTGCGTGTGTCGCGAAGTGACAGTGACCCCGGCTGGAAAGTTTAATCTATCGATTGTTCCCCCTCCTCTCTCCCCCTGACATCGAAATATTCGTTTCCCTTCACGGATAACGTGACAAATCTCTCTTACGCGAGATTTCGCGTTGAACGCAAGGGATCGTGATTTTACGAATCCTGAAGGATCGCCTCTCTTTCTCTTGTTTGCTTCCCATCTCGTTTCTCTCTCACGGTCTCGCTTCCTCTTACCGCGACCCTCTAACACTTTCTCTCTCTCTTTCTCTCTTTCTTTCTCTCTCCCTTTCTCTCTCCGTCCCTTTCCCGCGGTGTTTTCACGAAACTCGAAGACAAACGAAATACGGTCGAAACAAACGACAACCATCGTAAAGATTTTTATTATCCCATAAATATCGGAAACACGAAACAGAAAATATTCCAGCAGATATTCTATTCCATTCTAATAGAACGTTCCCCCTCGTTTCCGAAGCGAAGCATCGTCATTAACAAATCAGTTTGACAATCGAATTCAAAATTTCCCGCTGGGAGAAAGATTCATTAACGGAATAACGTAGACGTGAATAAGAGTGACGGCAGATAGACTGGAGATAGTAAATTTCGATGAATAAGAAGCATGATTCACGGTATCCCCTGGAATAACAGGCATTACGCATAGAAGCGTAACGCGTTTCCGGGAACGATTGCAATTAATATATCGGCTCGACGAGGCGATATAAAATCGAAAGAGGAGACTGTCGTCCTGTGAATAGGTAATCGAAGGGTTCCCCGGCGCGCATCGGGCATCGTAGTAGCCGGCGTGGCGCGGCGCGGCGCGGCGCGACGCTACGCG